ACCTGGAACTCTCCTGATATTATGGAATGCAACTCCCATCAGATCTAGCTAGGATGGTCAACAGAGACAGGTCATAGGTGCTGCAGCGCCATATGCTGAGAGGCATCAGATTGGAAAAGACCGCTCTAGATAATAAACCCTTCAAGGTATGAGCATCTCAAGCCTATTCTTTGTGATGTGTCACGTACAGGGATGGCACAATGACAACAAATTACTTCACTTAAAGCTGAGCTTCAAGTAGGGCACAGTTGCAAACACAATGGGGAAAATACTCTGTGCCAAATTATGACAGCATTCACAAGGCAGACTCTTGAGCGGGAAAGAGTAAGACCCAAAGTGCCACTTACACAAATGAGTATGAACATCATCTGAGAATGGAAATACATATGTGGTAAGAACCCATCATTGTGACATGTACAGGAGCTTGGCTTTCTACTTTTTTGTATTGCAAGTTCCTAAATTTTTGAGCCAACATGGCTGGGAGGTATAGCTTAAGTGCACTATTAATAGTAAGCTACAGATGACACTGTGTCCATCTTGAAGCAATTACCTACACTCTTGTTCTAGATTTGTTAAATAAAGCTGCTTTTCAGTGGAGACACACTGGTCCGGCCTCTTTCTGAGACAATCAGACAATATTCACTGTAGTCCAAAAATACCTTCTCTAAACTCTAGTTATAAAGATAACTGAATGGTGTTGGGATTAGTGCAGCCATAATGTTGGTAAGAATACAGTCTTAAAAGAATAAATACTAGAGTTATTGTTGAAGGCAAAGAAAGTACTATGATTTGCAGTTAATACCTGGCAGCATCCTCTCCCTTCCTATTTCAGGCTGCTGTCTCTACTAAAGATACAGAATTACTTTGGTAATTATTCAAATAGCAGTGCTTCTAGACATAGGGTTTCTAGTGTCTTAGATTGATAGTATCACAAGTCCAGTAAAAGCCAGGTGCTTGATAGGAATCTGGAATCTGGCTTGAATTACTCAATGGCTCTGGGACCGCTCCAAGGTTGCCTGAGGTGCTCTTGCATAGTTTATAACATATTTTATTATGTTTTCCTTTTCCTATCATTATCACTGGACCAGCTGATAAAAATCAATGTTATTATGAGGACAGATATTCCCAGGAAACAATACAGTATTAAAAGGAATGTGTGAGCTCAGCCTTTTAAGTATTAACTGAGAAACAGATTTTAATTGGGAGCATCTATCACATCCACTTAATGTATCTGTTTAGTGGAGAGCCAGCTGACACCTGCTGAGGTAACACACAGCAAAAGGTGATCAAGGAGTCGTCAAGCTCTGCAATATATGTATATATATATATGATTTGGACAACTTTTAACATGAGCTGAAAATAACATACAAGCTGTCAAGTAGCCATCATATGTGGTTATCAGAGCTTGGGGAAATTTCTCTGAATGCCTTGGCCAGTATGACCAGTGGGTTTACAGTCCAAAAAGTAACTTTTCCAAGTAATTATTGTAGATATGAATTTTTCTCCCTGCAACATACACTGGGAAGTATTCCAGCACAAGAAGATGTTAACAACCACTACACATAAAAATATGTACAATTATTATAGGGAAGTCCACATTCCTTCAAACATGGACATTATGGATTTTCACTATAAGATTTTTGTCATGTTTGAATTCAGCCCTTTCTCCACAAATATGCAGAACATTAGCTTGGGAAAAATATAATGCTTGTAACAATGGCCAAGAAAGAAATGGGCACAATCTGAAGAAGGTCAAGTACAATTGATAATGCGGTGAATTCAATAGGGTAAAAATATCTTACCACTTATAATGATTCTTACATTTTCTCTGATAATGCCATGGATGTCTTATGCTATTAATTATGAAAAGTAAAGTTACTTAATAAAGCAGAGAATACATCAAACAACTCATGTGTAAGGTGCTTAGTATAAAAATATTTTATAAGAAAAGTAATAGCTTGATTCAGAAAATATAGAAGTGCCTTACATGAAAAAGAATTCAGAAAATATACTCACATGGGGGATTGTTAGCTACAGTTTTAGCCAATTCGGGGATAATCTACACTATAAAATTATTTCCTTTCTCACGAAATTCACTTACTTTCCAGTAAGAGGCCACTGTGTTTTATTGCAAAAGTGGGATCTCAGGGGTTCTTATGCCTTCATCAAATGTAACATTTAATTTAAAAAAACAACCCTACTTCTCTTCACAATATTAGAAGGTCACATATTATGAAATGTACTGGGCAGTATTTCTGAGAGCACTGCTAGCTACTATAGCAGATTTCTTCTGCAGCAGATACATGGCTTTTCTTACTGCAAAATGGTTACTATTTTTCTATAGGCTGCAAACATTTGGGAAAGAAAAAGAATAACAGTTTTCTTCCCACATAGCTTGAAGATCTAGAAACAACCCAGTGTTAACTTCTTTGGCTTTCTTCAGTGCAGAAAAAGGAGCGCTCTTATTTTCTTTCAGGTTTACTCAGTCAAATATCCTGTGTAACCCTTGAAATCATCTCGGCATTTAACTAAACTAAAGCAAACTAAAAAAATAGCAAGCACAACAATAACAGAGCTTCAAATTGTTATGACAGAAAATAGTAAAAGATCCAGTATTATCCCAATGAGAGAAAGCAGCCAAGGAATGCCAATGAGTAGATTTACACATTTTTATAATCCAATTTTCTGTAGGCCAGAATGTTTGTCTATAATAGAAACAGAACAACTGCTCACCTACATAGAGGATCTGAACCCTCCAAATAAATGGATCTAACAAGCAACATATTTTGCCCTGTTGGAGCATGAAGCTGTCATGCTGTCATTATCACATGTGGGCCAGAAAGCGATAATAAAGTGGAAATGAGGCATTCCAAAAATAAACCGGAAATAAACCTTGATTCCGCAAATGGCTTTCACAATTGTGAAATTACAGTAAGCGCATTTAACGTTCACACACAATCCAGACCAATGGGTGCAAACTACAGGAAAATGTACTAGAAATGATCTTCTTGCACATGCGCAGATAGAGGAATGCTCACCGTGGAACCATGGGAAAAAGCAGGGAAATGCTCCCAAATGCACATTTGCTTTTCACATTATGGTAAATGCGAAATTACTGTAATTTCGCAAATACATTTCCTCAAAACTACCGAATTTCAAAAGATCTCGGATAACACCAGTTTCTGTCCAGTTTCTGTGCGACGTCGTGTGAAATCGTGAGGCACAAATCCAGTTTCTATTTGGGATTTGTGTGGATTAACCAGCAGATTTCCCCCGTGTGATAACGTCCATAGACTATTTTTTCAGTGCCCCCTAAAGGAAGAAATGCATCTTACTCTTGCATTGGAGAGTTCAGTTTGTAACCTAGGACTTGCTTGTTCTCATTCAGTGCACAGAAATTAGAATAATCTGATACTGTATGTAGTTTTTAGAAATGACTTCGAGAATATATGAACACCCTATCTTAAACATTTTATTCATCATGCTAAAATAAAACATTCCATAATCGGTTTTCTTCCTTTTTTTCAATTTTTCCAATTTTTTGAAAAACAAACAAAACAAACAAAAAAATCTTCAGGGGGAAAAATGAAAAAAACTTTTTTCCCTCTAATTTTTTGGGCCTTCCCATCTCTACTTTTAACTCATCTGTTCTTCATTAATAACATTTGTCATCTTGACCATACTCTGAGGTTGCCTGGCCACATATGTCCCAGTTTTCATTTGTCAAATGTTGGGATGTACTGTTCTTTAAAGGGTTCTTGCCTGTATCATTTGCGTTCTTTGCCATCTAAGAGATGGAAGGACAGTTGAGTACTTTGATTTCTGAGTCTCAGAACGCTCCTGGGAGCTGTAGTTCAATAACATCTTGAGGGCTACATGGTTATCACCCCTGAATTAATGGTGGAAGTAGGCAAGAATAAATGCCAACTTGGATGATAACTTGGAAGACATCTGCAGATTTTTATTTATTTATTTATTTATTTTTTGCACACTATTGTATGCCTTCAGGTCAACTCTCACTATGGCTACCCCATCATAAGCTTATCTTGGCATTATTTATTCAGAGGAATTTTGCCTTGTCTTCCTCTAAGACTGAGAGGATGTAACATCCTGGATGTCATCCAACAGGGTTCCATGACTGAGTAGGGATTTAAATTCAAGTCTACTAGATTCCTAGGCTACCTCTCAAACTGCTACACCAAACTGGCTCAAACATACAGTAGTAAGCGGGAATAATGTTGGTCAAAAATAGTGGATGATGCCTGTTCTAGTAAACAGAATTTTGACTGGAACAGATGGGGAGGGGAAAATAAGGAGGGATAGAGAGTAAGCCCTGCTGGATTAGACCAAAGATATCCAATGAATTCAAATACTTTTTCAAAGGAAAACCTATATATCTCTTCCAAAAATTAGTAATATTTTAATCTGTTGGAATTGATAAATGAATCATGGACTATTCCTACAGCTAATTTAGCATAATAAATCAAGACTGCTGAAAACACAAGCTACATTTTACCACCGTTGTTGCTGTGTGCCTTCAAATAATTTCTGATTATGGTAACCCTAAAGTGAACTTATCATAGGGTTTTCTTGGCAAGATTTGTCCAGAGGAGGTTTGACATTGCTTTTAAGTATTTGAAGGGATATCATGCTGAAGATGAAGCAATTTCTCCCCCCTGAAGCTCCAGAAACTAGGACCCAGACCAATGGGTGCAAACTACAGGAAAAGAGATTCCACCTCAACATGAGGAAGAACTTCCTGACAGTAAGAGCTATTTGACAGTGGAATATGCTGTCTTGGAGAGTGATGGAGTCTCCTTCTTTGGAGGTTTTTAAACAGAGGCTGGATGGCCATCTGTCTGGGGTGCTTTGATTGTGTTTTTCTACCTGGCAGGGGGGTTAGATTGAATGGCCCTTGTGGTCTCTTCCAACTCTACGATTCTATGATTCACCAAGGTTGAGAGCATGTACATTGTCTAAAATCACCCAGTGGGTATCATGGCCAAGCAGGGATTCAAACCCTGGTCTCCAGAGTCCTTGTCCAACACTCAAACCACTATACCACGCTGGCTCTCTGCATATGAAGTTGGAAACTCAGTGGAAGTTCAAAATATTACGGCTGGCATTCTGCTTGGGACTTATGCCTTTGGGTGCATTTACATTGCAGAAATAATGAAGTTTGGCACCACTTTAAGTTCTGTAGCTCCATTTTATGGAATCCTGGGAGTTGTAGCTTTACAAGGTTGTTAGCCTATCTGAAGAGTCTAGTGCCTCACCAAATGACAAATCCCAGGATTCTGAAAGATGGAGCCACGGCACATAAAGTTGTGTCAAACTGCATTATTTCTACAGTGTAGATACACCCTTTGTAAATGGCCCAAGACGTACACAAAACTGAACTGAATGTTTTTGTAATGTCCATATTCATGTAGGGATTACTGTGATGTAACAACATCCAGGTGTCCATTGTGTAATGTCAGCCAGTGGAGTGACTGAAATATCACAGCCTGATGTAAACTGGGCACCAATACTTATTCTGGTGTTCTCCAGAGCACAAACCAGCTAGGAAGATTCAGAGCACAATGGGAGTGTCCAATGCACAGCAGATATGTCCAATGTCCATCAAAGTTGTGCAATGTTCATTGGAGCACTCTTGCTGATGCCTAGATACTGATCTTTGCCATTCTCTTATAAGGTTTCATTGCTTTTCTGCAACATAGCTAGGGATTCATAAAGTTATGAAATGTTGACAGTGATGTAGGGTCTTGTAATTTGATTTACACTTCAAATGTACAATTAGGGAAAGTGCCATTTTTTCTAGGTATTGCTGGGAAGGTGGAATAAAAATACCACTAACTACATAGCACCAGATGTTCTTCTGGAAGGAACAGTTCATGTGCAAGGATATCTTTTTGTTTTGGGTTTTATTTGTGCAGGTGGAAATGTCAACTTCAGTTTGTCTGAAAATCAGTTAGATTCACTAGTGCTCAGCTGGCTACAGCTGACTTCAAAAATATAACACTTTCTGGCATTTTGAGCTACACAGGAATAATTTTAAAATAAACATGCATTTGTGGACCTTGTTCAGTCATTTCTAGTAGAATACAACTTTGCAAATTACATTGCATAACTATACCGTACAAAACTATTATTTATATTCTATTTTATTACATTAGTAGCAAATGATCAATACCTAGGGACCTAATCATATTTTATACAGGGCAATCAGTGGGTTTGTTACTATGATTCTGATGCCACTTCTTTTGTAGCTTCTTAAAACTGAACAGGAACTTTACCAGTGTTGGACACATGGTTGGCACCAGCACAACACCCATTCAGTCAACTCAGATGTGGCAAGAATGGCAGCAAAATGCAGAATGGATTTGCTGCGCCCATCACAGTGGATCCACTGCCCCTGATTTTTTGTTGGTTGTTGTTACATGCTTTCAGCTCTGACTTACAGCAACCCAAATCCTAGGATTATCTTGGCAAGATTTATTCAGAGGGGGTTTGCCACTGCTCTCCTCTTTGGCTGAGAAAGTATGACTTGCCCAAATCCACCTAGTGGATTTCAGTGACTGGGTAGGGTTTCAAACCCTGTTCTCCTGAGTCCTAGTCGAACACTCAAACCACAGCACATTACTGGCTCTCTCATACCATCGTATAGAGATAAAATAACTCTGCTAAAGAAAAAGGTAAGCAATCTATATGCTTTATTTGTATTGTTCTTTTTAAATTGTAAGCTGCCTTGAGTCCCATTTTAGGAGAAAGGTGGGATACAAATAAATACAAATAAGTATCGATGATGATAAAAACAACAACAACTCTAGTTTTGAGGTAGAATCAGAAGTATGCCTTACTAACTGTTTTAGTGTGCCTTTGAGTGCTCAGGAAAAAAAAATCCTCACAAATTAACCTAGGAATTAATTAATTTGAAATGAATCTATTTCAAATAATGCACCCAAAAGTCTAATTCCAAAAGCAATTATAACATTAAATAGGAAATGAATTTGCACCTAGCTGTAAAGTACAGCTCATATTTAAATTCTTCTCTGTGAATCCCTGTGAAAAAAGGGCTTACTACTTGTTTTAAATCTTCTAGTATATAATGATTTTTAAAAATCAGATAAATATTGCAGAATTGATTCTAATTTCCTCCATGTAAATGAGTTTGGGATATTTTTAAAGGAATTATTTAACAGATAATTCTTTAGCACAAAAAGAAAATGAACCTCCTCCCCACAGTTTCCAAATGAAAATGTATGCTATAAAATGTAGAGCTGTGGGCAACTAACACCCACTTAAGCCCAGTGTTATTTTCTTTTGCAATACAAAATGGTAATCCTAAAACTTTCATTGTCTGACACACAGAAGACTTATGGCAGCAGACATTTAGATGGTGCTTAGGGAGGAATTCAAAGCCAGAAGTTTGTAAATGGAGAACCCTGAAGGAGCTGTTCCACAGAATTGTGTCAAGAAGATAACATGCAGTTTTCATATAGCAGGAAAGTGTTAAGATGCATTTTTCTGGCAAATGTTCTTCTTCTTGTTATTATACATTTAAATCACAGAAAACTCCACAACAACAAAAGAGCATAAGGCTGTGAAAACATAAAATAAACCATAAGTCCTAGCCTGAAGCCCATGTACTCCATGTGTCCTATCCACAGAGCTGTAATTTCCATAAGTAACTATATTCACAACAATTCCACTCAGAATATACATGAGCATGCCTTTCAGAGATAAGGGCCTACAGCCACAATCCACCAAGAAAAGCACAAATACATAATGTAGCATTGTGTGTGCATATGTGCCTCCAAATTGCATGTCAACTTATGGAGACCCAGTGGATTCCACAGGATTTTCTTAGGCAAGGAATACTGAGAAGTGGTTGACCAGTTCCATACTCTGAAATATAGCACCTGGTACTCATTGGTGGTCTCTCATCCAAGTACTAACCATGCCTGACCTTGTGTAACTTCAAAGATCAGATGGTATTAAGAATATTTAGGTCCTGATGTAATACTAGCCAGTGTGATGTAATAGTTTGACTGTTGGACTATGACTTCAGGAGATTGGAGCTTGAATTGCTTCTCAGTCATGGAAACCCACTGGGTGATTTTAAGCAAGTCACACTCTCTCAGTCTAAGAGGAAGGCAATGGCAAGCCTCCTCTGAATAAATATTGTGAAGAAAACCCTATGATAGAGTTGCCATAAGTAGTTAACAAAAACATATTACAGTACCACTGAATTTTATTGGAAATTGTAAAAAAACTATTTGGTTCTCTTTTACAGGAGCGCCACAGGTCAGGCTAAGGTTTTCAGTGATGGATGTACAATTAATGTCTCCATGCCATTCAGTCAAATACCTGCCCCCAGCACTTGCATTTATGGAAAAGCAACAGTAGCCCGGTGCATAATGCCACATTGCATTTTAAGCAGAAGAAACCTCTATCCAAAAATCCTTCTTGCATTACAGAATGCCTTGTGAGAAGGTCTACCGATCACTGCCTCTTGGAATATCCAGACTTAGCCACTTTGGGATTCTTGGAATGGGGGCAAAGCATTAGCATCACTAGATACCCAGTAGGTAGCATGCTGCCAGATCCTGGGCCCTCTTGACTCTCTTGCTTCTTTTCTGGCTTGCTCTTTAACAAACATTTGTTTATGAATAAGCAGTTAGTAGAACAAGAAGAGGGGAATTGAGGAGTACTGTATTGATTATTTTACTATTTATTTATCCCACTGTAGTGTCATGGTTTGTCTGTTGGCTCTGGAACACCAGGTTTGGGTTCAGCTGTGGAAACCTACTGGACCTTGGACAAGTCATACTCTCTCAGCCTTAGAAAAAAGCTATGGCAAACACCTTATGAACAAATCTTGCCAAGAAAGCCCCATGATAGGTTCACCTTAAAGTCACCATAATTCAAAAACAACTTGATGGCACACAGCAATAGTTACCTTTCATACTTGTTGTGCAATACAGTCCTCATCTTTTATCCTGCAACACTAGGGATAGCTCAATCAATCATAAATGTCTTTTTAAAATTGAATGGTTAGGTTTTAATAGCAATAGCAATAACAATAGCAATAGCAAGTACAGTGGGCCCTTTGTCTACATGGGAGATCCGTTCTGGACACCTCCCCCTGCATATGGCAAAAAATGTGGGATCTCAAGTCCCATTGATTTCTATGGCTGTGTGCGCTATTTTAAGTCCCTGGGCTTGCGCAGAAGCTTAAACTGGCAATAACTAACTGGCTAACAGCTCAGCTTTTCACCCATAATTGGAGTAAAATCAACTCCAGTTACAGTCCTTTCTTACGTAGATAGATCCTTGTGAGGGTTTTCTAAGCAACAGCAGTTCCACAGCTGATGAAGCACTTCAGAGGCATGATTATTACTCGCTAAAAATGTTTCAATTTCTGAGATTTTGTTTCCACAACATCTAATGGCATTTTTAAAATAGCCAGAGGAGTGGCATTTGAACAACTGTGGGACAGATTCTCAGCTGCTATGAATCACTGCGACCTGCCTTAACTTCACAATTTTGCTATTTCTCTCTGTCTTTGCTAATGGTTACCTTAGCATTACTAATCGTGGCTGTAGGCAGAGAACAAACTAGCTTGCTCTCTGCCCACATAAATGTTGCTCTCCTCCCTATTGTGGTAACAAATGAGTGGCAAAGCCAGAATCTTTCAGCTGTAAGAATTCCTGGGAAGAGATGGCTCTTTGGTCTACAGTCTTCTGAAGTTAGTATACAAGTACAGGAAGCCTCCATTATTTGATGGGTTAGGGACTCCAGCACTGTCAGAAACGGGAATTGGTTAAAAAACAGAAGCCATGTAAGGAACAAAAAGGAATTATGGTGGTTTGCTTGGCACTGCTCATGCGCACCTGTATGCCCCTGTGTGTGTGGTGATTGCAAAATTAGAATAATGGAACTTGTCCTTCATTTGCAAGTGCTGAAAGAGCAAGTCATCCAATAAAGGGGTACTGAAAGGTGGGAGCTTCTAGTATGTCTTTTCTGCAGGCAATTCAATTCTCCATCAAATGAGAGGTGCCCACATTC